GTCGTCGCAGTCGACCTCGCCGCTTTCCTACGGCGACCCGCGCTGGCCGGCGGACTGCGGAAACCGTTTCACGATGCTCGGCGACTACCATTTGGCGTGCCAGCGCAGCAAGAACACACTTGACCCAGACGCTTTGCAGGCGCGGAAAGAGCGCCAGATGCGCGAAAAGAAACCGAAAATCCGCGACGGCTACGTGTACCAGTGCAACCGGCACCCGGACGCGTGGCTGCAGTCGACGTGCTACCAGATGCTGTGGCTGGACGACACCATCGACCGCGAGTTCCTCGTGCATTGTGTGGACAGTGATCTGAAGTTTCGGCGCGACACGCTCTGGGGAAGCCACAAACAGCCCAATTTAAACTTGAATTTGCACAACGAACTACAAACCGCGTACACCGGTATGCGGGAATGCGAACCCGATTGGGAAGAAAGGGCGGCGAAAGTCCTGCAAGAGTATAAAAAAGCAGGGAAGGTGATAGCACGTCGGGATCATCGGGAAATAATTGCACGTAGGGGGAAAGAACGACAGTCAAAAAAACTCAACAGATCATCTTCGGCCACTATTTCTTGGCAAACGCAGAATATTAGAAGTTGGAAAAATAGAACCGCTGCAGGGCTGCCACGTCGGAGGTGGAAAAAAGCTGCAGAGAAGATGGTGAAAAAGGGAGTGAACAAGAACAGCGTAGGAAACAAACGAGACGGGCACGACCATGTTGAGCCGTTGGAAATCCTTCCTCGATTTGCCGACCCGGCACTGCTGCTTTCCGACGCGCGCCCAAGACGCGTTCGGCCCGCTCTCAAGGAAGTGCGGGAATACCGTGCAGATCGGTTGGCGGAGATTCGAGCGGCGATAGCCGAGAAGGAAGTCGCGTTGGGGGGCCAGGAAGTAGATCAAGGGTCGTTCCCACTTTCCTCGTCCTCGCTACACAATAAAGCGCCGAGCGACCACGAAGTGCCGCGAAGTTGCGGAATTTACCGCCGTTTGCGCTGGATTTCCGCTGGGACAGTGCTCACGGGGTACGGGGCCATGGGTGGATTCGCCGACCCCCGCATTCTGATGAAGTGGCGCATGGATGAGCGAAAGTTTCCCGCGGTTGTCATTCTCAAAGTACTGACAGTAGATTCACATTGTTCATCGACTAGGCCAGTAGTTCTTTCTTCCACGAGCAAAAGTTCTTGGAAGTTCTGTTTAATGCAGAAATTTTGCCTACTCGTAGTTGTACGAAGCAAAATCAACATTGATATGTGCTTCTCAAACCCCCACCCAGGACCCTCTGAAAAAAAAATCAGGTTCCCCCGTTGGAAGCAAAAAAGCGGTATTGGCAGAAGTGGGTTGCTTCGTCCGAAGATCCGCAGTTTGTGTCGCCGGCACGGCTCTCCACCCCGTTTTTCCAGCAGGACCTGTTGCAGAAAATCACGTTGCGGAACGCGCAACTGATTCTGCTTTCCGTGCAGATGAGTCAAGTTGCGAAACGGAAACAACGTCAAATGGCGCGGCTTGAAGAGGGAGAGAAAGGAAGTACGTCGTACGACAGGAAGACCAGAGCACCTGACGAGAGTCCCCTCGTTGAGATGAAATATTTGGAGAAAGTTATTCTCCAAAGAACGACCTACGTCGAGGAGCCGTGCGGTATGTATGTCGACCTTGATTGGGACTTTTGCGGGTCTTTCCTGCAGCTCGCCACCCCACCGCGGCGGAACAGCCGAACGCGCGAACTGTTTCAGGGCGACCACAGTTCCTGGGATTATTACGAAACGAGAACTCGAATCGAAATACAAAAGTGGTCCCGGCTTTATAACACGGAGTCCCAGATCGTGTGTGTCTCGAACCATGCCGGAAACTGGACGGAGTTTTACCCCGACCAGGCGGAAAAGTTCAAGGCTTGGCTGCAAGCCTCACCGGTGTTGATGTTCTTCTTGCGACCGGTGAACGCGAAGAACGGCCACGCGCCGCTGGTCAGAATTCCGTACCGGGTCGCGGGTCGTTCAGACGGCGAGGAAACTTTTTCCACTCTGCCGCTGTGGTACTACAATGCAGAGGACAGGAAGCGCTTGCAACAAAAGAAGCGGGACTGGTATTATAGGATTTTGTGTGTTTCGCGTTTGCCGATTTGCGATTTCGTTTTGGCACGGCGCTGCTCCGTCATTTTTTTCAGTCTATATCTCCCGAACACGACACGAGGATCTCTAACCTGTTCGTTATGTCAAGAGGTCATTTGTTTATCTCGATCATGATACTCTCAAAACTGAATTTATGTTTATCCTTTTTCAAGGTACCTCGAGGGGCAAGCGCACTTGCAGGTGCATCGACAGCAGCAAGTTACTGAGTTTGCCAATTTTGCAGCCTCCGAGGCAGTGGCGATGCAGCAGGCCGGAGCAGAGCATCCGTACAGCACCTTTCTACCCCCCTATCTCCTGGGGATCGCCGAGTACTGTGCGAACCCGGCTGACGTCGGCGCGGAAAAGGCCTGGTCCGCTGCGGTGGAGGAGCAATTCCGCGGGAATCTGAACCGAGCGCACGAGGACCACGCGGGAAATAAAGACCCTTCAGAGCACACAAAGAATGCTGCCACCCAAGATTACCTCACGTCTGCACCTGCAAGAACCAGCGAAACTCTCGGCAACGTTACGTTTGCTGACAACTGTCTCCGCGAAGTGGCTGCGCGCGTAAGAGAATATGAGGACGAACCTGGCGTCGGCTTTGTCTGCAACGACGGCGTGCCGCGAGGCGTGCTTGCCCCCTTTGTTCAAAAAAAATCAGCAGCGACGCTATTTGAGGCGCCTTCGGGAAGAAGTTCTTACGGGAAGAGCACAAGGACCACGCAGCGCCATTGTGGTGTCAAACGCGAAGATCTTGTTGTTTCAAAGACCGTCGAAAAATCTTCAAAAGTGCTCTTGCAGCTGCTGCGTTTTCATTCGCATGTCACCGCGTTGGGACTTGGTCTTGGAAGCAGCAGAAGCAAAACCGCTGGCGTCCTCACGGATGATGGAAATGAAATGCAGCTCGGATCATTTTTGCAGCATCTCCGTCACCAGTCACAGCTCGCCCTGGCTGAGAATCAGGGCGCAACAGCTGGGACGAACATGCAGTTGCGACGTGCACAGGAGTGCTTGGCCGCACGACAGCCCTCCTGGAACGTGTTTTTTGGCGTCGGGGGGCCTGGTGAACATTCAGGTCAACCTTTGGGTTTGGAGGATAGCAGTACCGACAGAGATCAAGATCAACAACCGCTTAGAGTCGATCAGGACTCGCAAGAACTACAAGGTGAGCGTGAACCTCCGGCTGCAGAAGTCCTCCCTGGTCCACCTGGACCTGCAGCACCGAATTGTTCACCCAGCATAAAAATGTCAACGGAAATGACTAGGATCACGCCATACCATGACACTGCATTGGAGGCGTTGCGGGACCAGCTGATTTTCCAGGACCAAGAGGTGCGCGCGAATCTAGCAAGCGAAATCGAGGCACACTTCCACGAGATTCTGTCCAACTTCAACCTGCTCCTCAAACTGGCGCACCGGAAGCAACAGAAATACAGGAAAAATTATTCCTCGGAGAGCTGCAGCAGAGAACAAAAAGCGGACCGTCGTCCCGATGTTAAAAACCTGGTCGGCGAGCATGGTGTGACTTCGGATTCATTCTCGGAAAACGCGGTGTCTGTCAGGGACGGAATTTCACCTAGGTCCTCGTCGTCGTCTGCTTCCAGGGCTCACAGCTCGTCCAGTAGTTCCTCCAAGCCAGCTTCTTCGAGGATGAAAGCTGCAGCAAAATTCGCGCCATTGTCGTCGAAGAAGAAGATCTCCTCCAGAGCGCGACGCTCGTCTTCGATGCCTTCCAAGTTGTGCACTAGAAGTAGTTCCTCGTCCACGGAAGAAGAAGCAGAACAGCGGGGCCGTCAGTGTTCTGCAGGAATGCCGGCTTTCTTGTCGAAGGAGTCTTTAGAGAGGAGTGCGCGGCGGGCGTCTGCGAAAATGCAACCTTTGAATAAGTTGTTAGCGACGAAAATATCATCTACTGGTGCAGCACAAGAACGTCGTCGGAGGTCGTCTTCCGAGGAATCTCCGACATGGTTTTCTGAAGGGTCATCGTCGAGCGAGGCTTCCAGTGGATCCTCGGGTTCTTTTGGCAGCAGCACAAGAACGTCTAGCGGGTCAACGAGGTCTTCTGGCCGGAGTGCAGCCAGGTCGGCATCGAGGTCTTCTTGTAGTTCCAGCGAATTTTCTTCTTCGTCTATGCAGTCCTCGACCTCCTCATCTGCCTCTTCCAGTTCGTCCTCTTCCTCAGACAGTTCTGACACAAGCGACTCCGAGGAAACCTCCGTAGAAAAGATTAATCGGAGTGATGAAAATAAGAACTCGAGCCGAGCAACATCGAGCGAGCAGGAGTCCTCCTCCGATGGTGTTATCCAATTCCTCCCGGGTCGGGCTCCGCCAGGGGGGCTCGAATCTGATCTCTTCATGCCGGAGTTCTTGCCCTACATACCTGGCGAGTTCCTGCCCTACAATAAGCTGGCGAAAATTGTGGAGGAGGAGGAAGAAGAAGAAGTTGAAGAGGAGCTCAGCGACCACAATAACCTGGAAAAGGCTGATGGCAATCCTTCAGAAGACGAAGGTACTAAAACTAGCGTTTCAACAGCTTACAATCGTCGTCGTCGTCCCAAAGTCCTAAACGCAGCTGTAGAAGAGGCGTCTTTGCTCGGAAAGGAGGCCGAGGCAGCAAAGCTTTGCGAACTGTATCTGAAGACTTTGGTTCTTCGTTACCGCAGTTCAACGTCTGCGCCGTTTTCTGATGTGGCAGAAGTGGGAGATGAAATTGGCATGATATCACCTCTCGGAAAAGTCGAAGGCGATGCTGCAGAGAGACAATGCGATGAAGAAGAAGAAGAAGCAGCGGACACGACGACTAAAAACGACCACACATCTTCAGAGGCGGTAGGGGTACTACTGCAAGAACTCGCAAAGCAGCAGGGAACAACGACTACTACCGTCGTGAAAACTACAGAAGCTTCTACTTCTTCTCCCGGACCACGAGACTTCACGCTCCCACAAGTTCTTGACGCCATCGCACAGTTGCTGGAGTTAAACCCCATCGAGGTAAAGTTTTCGGCCGATGCAGCGCTCCACTCCTCCCTCCCAGATTTTTACGAAAAGCTCCACACGACGCAGCGGGGATTACACCAACGGGTGCTGCGAGAAACCGAGTATTTGCTGTCGGTCCTGGCATCCTGTCGAAGTTGTAGTACTTCTGTTTCTGTAGCGGGAATTGATTGTACAACTGTGCCGGACGAAAGCAGGAAGAAAGATTTTCGCACAGAAGCTTTGTCGGTTGTCGCCTTGCAGCACTGTGCAGCGGAGCACAAGCCACTCCAGGGCCAGTCGGGTCCGGTGGACGCGGCGGACTACGTCAATGTCCTTTTGGATTTCTATGAACAGTTTCTCGCAGGGGAAAAATACACGGGCGAGGAACATCCACCAGCGCCGAGCGAGATGAATTTCGGAGCACTGTCAAGCGGTGGACAGCACGATGGTACTACAACAACAGATCCCATCCTGTCTTTATCCCTTTTTGAGCAAGAGGAATCCCGTCGGGCGTTACGGCGCTTGAGGCGTTACGAATGCAACTCCATTTATTCCGATCACCTGGGAGGAGGCGCTGACAAAACTCTAATTCCCGCGGCGATCCTCCCCATCCTCCGTTCCGTGCCGAAAAGTTCGCGTCGCGCACGCTGGCTGGGTGCCGTGAGCGGAAAAGTCGTGGATGCGAAGACGTTGCGGTTCAACTACCCCAATGCGTTAAAAGGCTTCGAGCACACCTTCCACTTCGGGCAGAGGGGATACAAGTGGCAGGAGCTGCAAGAAGAAGAACACAGGCGCTTGTTGAATGGTAGCACAACGACAGAAGTTGGTCGTCCATCTTTGGGGCGTTATAGCTCAGATCTGGTGGTGACCCGGCTCGCCCCGCTGTTCGAACTGCTCTCCTACGGGATGAGCCCCTGGGCGGACCGGCGGATGCTGACGGGGGTGCATGAGCAGGTGGAGTGGGTGATTGCGCTGAAGCGGTACCGGTGTGTGGCGGGGATTTTGCAGCAGGTGGCGGAGTATGCATTGCAAAAGTATCGTACTAGTAGAAATCGCATGACAAATTTGAGTAGCATGACAAATGAAATTGGTAATGCAGATTTACGTTAGGAAGCAGATTTGTATATGCATGATTGCAACTAGTACGAGTACGATACTTTTGCAATTGATACGGAGCGAACCGAGGAAATCGAACTCGAGCTGCGCAAAGAACGGGTCGCGAAGATGGAGCAGTATCAGGGCGTGGGGAATAATTTGAAGACCTACCGCAGCATGATTGGCAGGACGGCGCACGACATTGACTGGAGCAAGATTTCGCAGCAACCGGGGCCGTTCCGCGAAAAAATCCGGTCTTTGATCGATGAGTTTTGCAGCCCCGCCTACAAGGGGATCGGGCGGCTGAACCCCCATCGCGATCAGGGCATGAAAAAGTCCATTCGGGAAGGGCAACTGCCCCACCAGTACGTGTTTAGCGGCTGCGACCGACCCGAGGTGCCCAAAGCAGACCAGTATCCTGAGTAAAAACGTACCCACACCAGAGTCAGGATGGGGATTTTGCAACACAAGCCTAGGAGTTTTGGGAGTCACGCATGACAAGTTTCAGTCCGTAAGGTAGTGCAAGTTAGCAAAGAAAGCCGCATCACAAATCGACCTTCTGATCTTGTTTACAGCATTACAAGTTCCCAAACACGATTGAAAATGCCTGTCATGGGGTTGCGCATCACAAATGTTCCTGTCATGGCAAATCTGCATGACAACTCTGGGGTGGGGACGTTTTTACACAGAATAACCAGCAGGCGGACTTCAACAAGGCCTCGATGCAGGCCTATCAAAAGGAAAAATCCCCCCTCCCCATAATCAAAACGAAACTTCTGATGCTGGATTTGGATACACAAATCAGATTTGTGTTGCAGAAAGGCATGGCGGCCAGATCCGCAGGCAAGCTGGGGGCGTATGGGTCTAGTTGCTCAGCATGGCAAACGGCCTCCCTTTAGGCCCAACGGCATGACAAATCGCCTCTATAATATGGCGGAAGCTTCTGTCCCTGTCTTCTGGCAAGACAGATGAGATTTGTGGCCTCAAATCAGCAGCACAAATTTCCGGAGACATACTTTTTCAATATGGGGAGGGTGGATTTTTCCTCTCAATAAGGCCTGGCGGGAGTTCGTGGCGCAGCGAACGCCGGGCGGGGGGAGTAGTAGGAGTAGTAGACATCTGAATCTGTCTCCCAGCAGCACCACGAATACTTGCGGGCAACATCAAAACGACTCTACCACCCCGAAGTCATCAAGTCCGCGGTTCGAGGAACTTTTCATCAGCCATTTAGCGCCTCGGCTGTCCACTTACTGGCAGGGCGACATGGAAAAGAACGGTGTTGATTTAGAAAACGTGGTTTTGAAAGCGGCAATGTGCGCGGAAAAGGAGTTCAAGAAGCTGTCCCCTACTTCGGCTAGCAGTACTAAGTCAATCAAGACAACAAGATCCGCGCGCTCGCCGGGTAGTGGCACGCGGAAATTATCCAGCGCGACGCGACCTGGAGAATTATTGTCCACGAAAAATGCTGCAGCTTTCTTGAAAAGCAACAACACGATCGGAACCGGAGATCGAGATGATCTACTTCGACAAAACGGGGATTTTTCAGCGGAGCATCAATGTCCGGACTTTCTGCAATTGGACAACCTGGACGAGTATCAAATGTAAAAATGTCTGGGTCTGGAAGGATGCGAACTTGGCAAACGCATTTCACAACACAGCCAAATCTCTCATGCATAGGCAGCAAAAGGCGCCCACTTCCTGTCACCAAAATGGGGGATTTGTCATGCGGATTAAGCAATGCGGAAGCTTCTCGAAATCTGTGATGCTAGGGCTTCCATGACAGACACTTTGTGTCATGCAAAAACAGCATGACAAAAATCTGCATTCTTCCAGACCCAGACATTTTTACATTTGATAACGAGCGCAGTTACCTCCCTCTACTCCTGCAAAACCCGATTTACGGCACGAAGCTTGTCGAAAATGCGACTTCTGCGGGAGTAGATGCACTAGAGGAAGATGACCTATTCGGGTGTGCAATGGAGGCGCAAGCGGATCTGGAGTGGACAAAAAAAGAAATTCTGCGGCTCGTGAAAAAGTACTGTTCGAACAACTTTTTTGAGCAAGAATCCGATGGTTCACAGAAAGAAGAAGGCGATTTTCGGGATCGCAGTTGCGGAAGAACCGAAGGAACTTTATCCCGGAACGAGCCGGGCGGAAGGCAAGCAGAGCGGCTTTTGCCATCCTCGTCGGGGGCCTCATCTCCGACCTGCTCGGAAGGTGACAGTGAAAGAACTGCAGAAAGAGAGTCCGAGGATTATACGAAAGAGGCCGACACGGACACTAACGGAGCTGCGGAAACCTCCGAAGGCGATGATGTCACGAACAAACCGAAAAATCATAAACCCGATGTTGCCGAAGTCGACGCCCCGGAGCTACTACGCCGCCTTTCACACAAGCTCCAACTCCACTGGATAGCCAATGACGTGGACAAGGCGTACGAAAAGGATGTGTGGGCGGAAGTAGACCACCACGACCCTGGCACGCACAGAGGAGGACGCCATACTCCAGCTCTTCCCTTCACTTCTTCTTGGGACGCGGAGGTCAGCCGCTGGATTCAGGAGCAGGAGACGCGCGAGCAGCAAGAGTTCATGCACGAGGTAGCGTTTGAGGCAGAACTTTCGTTCGGTTCGGCGCACGACCGCGGACAGGCGTTGCTCCCCGAGGGGTTTTGCAACGACATGAGCGCGAATCGGAGGGACTTTTTGAAGCTCTGGGAACAGGTAGAAATTTGTACCAAATTGAGCAGATTTATATAGTTCTTTTTCCGGTCGTCAAGCATGTGTGTGTGTGTGTGTGTGTACAACAAGAACATGAAAACATTTATTCTTCATTCAGGTCAAGCTCCGTCTCTCTGAAAAGAACCAGGATTCTGCTACCTCTCCGGAACCGCAGGAAAAACAAGCTGCAAGTGGAACATCAACAGAAGTTCATCTTCGACAGCACCTGCCGAACCGCATGCGCGATGAACAACCCGGGATCAGCAACCGCAAAACAGCAGGTCCTGTGTCCACGGCGCCCAAGATGAACATTGACCATATTAACCAGAGAGCTTTGTTCATCAAAAACCAGTTGTGGACCCGTGCTGCCTACGACCATATCAAGTGTAAAAATGTCTGGGTCTGGAAGAATGCGCGACTTGTCATGCTGCTTTTCCATGACCCATGAGGTCTGGAATGCCGGAGCTAGCATGACAGATTCTGCTAGACCTTTCTAATGCCTATCCTGCATGAGAAACTACCTCCGACTTGGTCAAAATTGGGCATCTTTTGGTAATCATGCAACACAGATTTTAGCATGCTGCAGATTTAGCATGACAAGTTGCATTCTTCCAGACCCAGACATTTTTACATTTGATAGACCACTCGAATCCCCAATTTCCAATCCGCTGCACCTTTGCAACTCCCGTTCTCGCAGTATGCCTGCGTCAACTTACCCAAACTCAACTTACCCAAAAATTTAACTAGCCATTTTAATTAGCTACTTATTATCCGAACTTACTATCCGGCGCCGTTAAATCTACGCTTACTAGTTAAGGTAAATAGCTATTTCGAAGAGGACGCTTTCCGGCGTGTGTGGAAGGCGCATCCTCCGCTACCAACGATCACGGATCCCCTCCCCAGCAATGCTGTATTTCATGACAAAACTGCTTCGAGTTGATGCTATCAAGTCAAATTATATTGCTTTTTCATGGGGCATAGCATCGGGGAAGCAATATATTTTTAGGCATGGATCAGGGGAATGATTGATCCCCCTCCCCGCTGCTAGGTCTTGGATTGACAAAAAATCATCATACCATCGCGAATAGAAAAAAAAAGACGCCTCGTATTTTTTTCAATTCAAGGGCATAAGAAATAGAATACTTCAATACCTCTCGCATGCTATCACTTCGCGTAGAAATCCAACCAAGCTACGAAGCTTGTGGATGGTGTCGCAACGCGGTGGCAACGCAGCCCAGCCTCCGCGATCGTTGGTAGCGGAGGGGAATCCGTGATCGTTGGTAGCGGGGGTTGCGGGTTCTACACACGCCTGAAAACGCCCTTAATTAGCTATATAAATTACTACCTAGTTAATCATAGCTACTCCTTTTAGGCATTACAAATCAGCATGCTTTCTAGCTATAAAAAATCGCTAATAAAATTTTTGGGTAAGTTGAGTTTGGGTAAGTTGAATCCCCAATTTCCAATCCGCTGCACCTTCACCACCCCGGTTCTCGCAGGAGCGTCTACCCCCGACCCCGCAGCGGCGCACCGTATGCATGTGAAAAGTATCGTACTCGCATAAATGCATTACAAATTTCTTCAGCATGAAAAATAAAATTTGTGATGCGGATTTAGCTTCAGAAAGAAATTTGTAATGCATGACTGCAATTACATACTACGGGTGCGATACTTTTGCACAGGATACACCTTACGAAAATGCGGAAGCAGTTGGAGGCCATGGTTATCTTTGGAGCCAACAGCCGGCTGCGTGAAACAAATGCAGCAGCAGCTCCGGGTGGAACAACAAAAAATCCAATTGGTCGTGCCAAAAAACGCGGCCGAGTCGGTTGTTCGTTCACCGATCTCTTCCGGATGCCGGGGGCTCTGCAGCGATATCGGAGGGAGGTATGTAGGAACTACGAAGCACGATCTTCACAAGTAAGTAGAGAGGAGAATAAGAGCAGAGCGAACAAAAACCCCCGCGGAAACAACAAGATAAAGAAGCTGCAAGGGGCCGCGTCGAAGAAGAGGAAAGCCAAGCAATTTGTTCCCTGGATCAAGGTGAGTTACGATCCCGCGTACGTTCGGGAGTACGTTGAGGAGATGAAGGAGCTGAAGGCAACCGCTGCTAAAAAGAAAACAACGACCTCCAAGGACGAGCCGGAGACGGACAAGGCAGTCGAACCGCCGTGGATGCGGCGCGGCAAGGAATTAGACGCCTACTGCCCCGTGTTGGAAAGCGATGTGGAGGTTGATTCGGCGGACAGCGACGGTGGTCAGTCCTCGGGCTGTTCTTCTTCTAGTTCCTCGTCTGGATCCTCTTCTTGTAGCACGACAACAAGTTCTAGCAATGCAGACGACGGTCGAAAAATGATCCGGTTGTTCGACAGGAAAGATAAAAAAGGCCGTGTCCTGGTTTCCGCTGCCAGCGAACGGAGATTTCTGAACCGGCTTTGCTTCGTCCCCTACACGCCGGGGCTGGTGGGCAAGCAGCAGCAATTCACGAACCAAGACCAGCGAAGGTTGGTGGAGCTGAACCGGTTTTCAGCGACGTCCTCGAGGGCGGCGACGACGAGAGAACAACAGGAAGGTAAAGGTGCAAGAACTTGTTCCTCGCAGCCAGAGGACCACTCGAGCAACGGCAAGGCAACTTACGAGCGAAAAGCGCTGACCGCCTGGATGCGATATTTGCGAGCCAAGCGCAACCACAGGCGGCTGCCGCTCCTCGTCCCGAACCCGCGTTTCCCCCGGGTTCGATCGCTTTTCACGCGAAATCATAAAGCCGGGCCGTCTACGGGATCGGGAATCGCGCGACGTAGACTGGTGGCGAATAAGAGTACCGCGAAGTCGGTCGTGCCTTCTGGAACGAAAACGATTCAAGAATTGAAGGACCACAACCGCGTAGAAGAACGAATTTCTATGCGTGGAGGCAACAAAAACAACAACAAGATCCGGCCCCCGGGGTTTGGCAAGATTTCGACAAAAGTGCTTCGGGCGACGCGTGGTGTGAGAAAAGAACTCTGGTTGCACAAACATCAAGCCCAGTACGCGGACACTGAGAAGAACCGGGTCGACATTTCCCCCAGCATGCAGAAGAAGCGGAACAGACGCGGGGGTGGAGGGAAGAAGAAGAAAAAGAAAAACAAGAAGGAGCGCGGTTATTTTCCTGGCGTTTTTGAAGAAATGTTTGACAGTAAAGGTACTATCAACAAGACTGCAAATCCTCTCTGGCCTCGTGTGACACACCTCCTCCAGAGCCGCAGCATGAAGAAGCAGGTCGTCATGCTGAAGACTTTTGTGCACAAGATGCCGAAGAGAGCGAAGAACAGAATTCGCCTGCAGCTCGAGCAGGAGCTCGGATGGCGAAAGTTTCGGAAGTTTGAAATCACACAAAACCTTCCGAACGAAGTCGATAAGGCCCTGGAGCGGGACTTGACCTGGCATCCGCGAGACGACTCTTACCCGTATCCGAGACTTTTTGGAAGCAACCCGACCGATGTTGTGCGGCGCTACGACGATGAGGAGGAAGAGGACACGACTTTGCTAAATCAATCCGCTGCACCTTCACCAGCATGGAAGGGCGTAGGCAGAGGCGGAAAAACGGCCTTCGGCAAGGGCGGCTGGAATTTTTACAATAAAACTGCGTCTTCATTTGGTGCGTCGCTGAACTACAGTAAACAAGGACCGCATAAGGGAGCGGGCAAGGCGGGTAGTGCGGCCAGTAAAGCTGCCGCTACTTCAGCAAACCAAGAGAACAACAAAACACTGGTCATGCAGCAGCGCAAGTCTACAGGGGCGCTTCGCCGCCACTACCGCCCCGGTCGGTTGGGGGTGGCAGAGTACTTTCAGAGGAGGAGTGGAAGAACGAGTGGCAAGGCATCGGGTACTTTGTGCAGCAGCAGCAAAGCGGGTGGAAATGGAAATGAAGACACCGACGGGGAGGACGACTCGAGCGACCCCACAAAGCCCAGGAGAAAGCGCTTGCGCTGTTTCGCCAATCCCGCTTTTGTACTCAGTAAAATGGGCGGCGGTAGTACAAAAACCAGGTTCTTTCGCGGTCTACAACGCCGGCGGCGCAAGAGCAAAGAGGGCAAAAACACAAAGATAATGTTGCCCACGACCTCCACCAGTGCGATTCCTCCTCTCGCCCTCGGCTACGCCCTGAGCCGTCGGAGCCACCTGCGGTTTGCGAAAGCCTCTACCTACGCTCTGGTTGAGCAGAAACACGATTTTTCTATGCAGAAAAGAGCAAATAAGGAGGACGAAAGGAATCTACTTGCAGCTCGACAAAAAACGTTTTTTGTACGCGCGGATGACAAACGAATCTTTTGGGCGGGGCACAATCTGCGGCACAAACAAAAAATGGACCAAATGGGCTTACGATTCGATGAGGAAGAGCATGACTCATCCAGCGAACATTGTGATGAACAACCCGAAGAAGAAGATCCTCTTCCCTGGGCAAAGCTGAGCGACGCGTGTGTGCCTCTGCAGTTGGAGACGACCGTCAATCCAGCTAGTACTGCAGGTTCGACAGCGCTGCGCGATAAGTTCTTGCACAGAAGTGGTTTGTGGGTCCCGCAACCCGCAGATGCTGCTTTCTGGAAAGCGGTCCGGCGGAAGCGACTTTTAGATGTTGGCGGTGAAGATGAAGGGGAAATGATAAATCATGTGGACAAGAAAATACCATACTCGCTGCTGTCCATGGAGGAGTTGTACCGTCGAGCGGAATTTGGAAAAACTTCTCCCGCATCATCTCCAGCGACATTGAACTACAGTGATAGTACTTCTTCTATCACAAACCTCTACCTGCCGAAGAATGCGCGCCAGCAGCGCAGGATGGTAGTCGCCCTCCTCAGCGAACTGCAAAAGCGAGAAGGACTGGCCTTTTGCCCGCATGGAGTAAAGTTGGGGATCGGGAGTTTCGTGGAGGAAAACGTAAGTTATTCATCGAATAAATTGTCTGAACCAAGTTGTACTTCTTCTAAAAGCGGTGTCAGCGCCGCGACGTCGTTCTTGCACAGCCAATTCTTAGACGCGCAGCGGTTCATCCGGAGGAAATTGGATCATGCCGTGGGTGTTTCTCCACATGAAAATGAACAACTGCCAGATGTTTCGAAAGCGTTAGTTCGAAAATACATGGCCGCGGAAGCCCGACAGGCGAAACTGTACAACCAGAACCGCACCGGCTACAAGCTGCCGCGGCACCCCTGGCGGTTATTTGTTCCTGTGCCGTTCGAGAAGGAGAGTCTAGACCGGGCTGCCCTCCTCTCCCGGAACGACGACAATGATCGGGTTCGGGATGTCAAGTTTCTGCGCGCGCACTCGGAGCTCACACGGGACGTGAACTTGAGCATGTCGGAGATGTCCAGCCTGTGCATTTTGCGCAAGTTCTGGTACAAAAATCAGGATACTGCGGAATTCAAAACGAAGGACACCGACACCACCAGTCTGGAGTCCCACATCAAGGTTGCGATCTCGGACTTGGTGACCGATCGGGTTTTACTCTCGTCCCGCCACGGCTTCCAGGGCCTTTCCTGCGGCCACTCCGACATGCTTTTGTGCGGCCCGAGGATTCAATTCCAGCAATTCTGGACGCCGGAAATCGAAACCATGGTACTGGCCGCGTGTACCTCGCCGGTGGAAGTGTCTTTAAAGCGAGGCTGGAAAAAACCCGCGACGAAATCCGATTTCTGCTGGGCTGCGCGGGAGTCCAACTTCACGGACGGAGTTCTGCTCGCGTTTGGTGGTGTCAACGCGGTACGGCAGAATCTGCCACCGTTGATCGCCGACGCAGTCTTCCTGCAGGAGCGGAACATCGAGAAAGCCATTCTGGAATGGAACGAAGGGACGAATTATCACGCGCGATTGGACGCGGTTCACCGGAACAAGGATCTGGTGCCGTGCAAAGAGGTGCGGAAAGCGGGAAAACAGCGGTCCAACAAGCTGGATCCGGCAATCAAGGAGATGCAGGACATTCTGGACAAGAGAGCAGTGCAGGAAAAACTGTTCTCCAAAGCAGAACTCGCATCTACTTCTACTTCGGCGACGAACCACAAGGATCGACCGCGTTCAATGCAGCTGACTCAACTCGCCAGCACCCTTCTTCTTCAAAACAACTCGGGTGGAGGAGGTCGTGGTGGTCTGCTCATCTCTAGGTTCCTCGACCTGACCGGTTTCCAGAGTGCGCTGCAGGTTGGGGCCGACCAACTGTTCAACGCGTGGAATGATATCGTTGTCGAAGACGACTCCTGGCTGGAGAAGCGGCAGCGCGCCCAGCGGGAGCTGGAGTGGCGCAACCGGCTGACCACCCTGAAAAGCACCGCGAAGTATTGGCGCGAGAAGCACCGCGGGCGGCGACTGGCGATTTGCCGGGAATTCGAAGAGAAGGCAGCAAAACTCGAGGCCTGGATTCAAAAACACGTATACGGGAAGGAGGGGAAAAAAAAGACAGATGAGGAGAAAACCAACCTACTTGCGTACCGGCACTACTACATCGAGAAGTGGCGGCAGGAGAAGGTGGCAAAGATCAAGCGGCTCTGCCGGAACCCGAATTTGAAACGGGTGGGCCGGAAACACATCCACCTGATGCGTACCGCAGTGAAACTACACAAATTCAATGAAACGCGGTTCAACACCGAGAACCAGGAGGAAATCGCCAAAACGATCACGATCCGAGAGGTGCTCGACCCCGACGTCTGCTACGAGCCGGATGACTGGCGAACGCCGTGGGAGCCGAAGGAGAACATCCCCAACCAGCTTCCGGGCGAGGACCTGCTCCCGGTGTTTCTGTCCGAGGGGGTTTCCAAGCATCAGGTGTCCGTCCTGAGCTCGCAGCGGGTGAAAGACCGGCTGCACGACAAATTCAAGGAGGACTTTCACGGGCTGTTCAAAAACGGAAGCTGTCTTCTGCAAACGGATAGTACGATGAAAAGTAAGGAGACCGAAACAACTACATCCGGTTGTAGCCGTAGCGTTGAGCCCGGTCGAAATAAATCGCAGCGAGGCCGCGTCGAGGCCGCAGCGCTTGCCATGACTCCAGTCGTCCCTCCGGGTTCGCCGTTCGACGTCGTCGTGCGAACGGTCTATCACCACGGGAGTCGTCACGTGAAAGAGCAGCGGAACCAGCGCCAGGTCTACCAAAAAGGGCTTCCGAGGTACCTATTGAATTTCCTCTGATTCGTAGTCCTTTTTTTGAGTTCGCTATTGAGTTTCGGGCACCACTCTGCTCACCAACAAGGAGGTCAGCGACCTAGGAGGTCAGATCCGAACTTGGGGGGGACTCCCCCCCGATTCGGTTTGTGCCCGCAAGATCCAAACTTAGGGGGAGGTCCCCCCCCGGTTCTGTTTGTGTCCGCGGAGGTAGCTGACCTCCGCGGAGCTTCCCGACCTCCGCGGAGGTAGCAGACCTCCGCGGAGGTAGCTGACCTCCGCGGAGGTAGCAGACCTCCGCGGAGCTGCCCGACCTCCGCGGAGCTGCCCGACCTCCGCGGAGGTAGCTGACCTGCGCGGAGATAGCTGACCTCCGCGGAGCTGCCCGACCTCCGCGGAGGTAGCTGACCTCCTCGGAGCTGCCCGACCTCCGCGGAGGTTGCTTACCTCCGCGGAGCTGACCTCCGCGGAGCTGCCCGACCCCCGCGGAGCTGCCCGACCCCCGCGGAGGTAGCTTGCTGACCTCCGCGGAGCTGCCCGGCCTCCGCGGAGGTAGCTGACCTCCGCGGAGCTGCCCGACCTCCGCGGAGGTTGCTGACCTCCGCGGAGCTGCCCGACCAACCTCCGCGGAGGTTGCTGACCTCCGCGGAGGTAGCTGAATGATCTCCGCGGAGGTAGCAGACCTCCGCGGAGGTAGCTGGCCTGCGCGGAGCTCCCCGACCTCCGCGGAGGTTGCTTGCCTGCGCGGAGCTGCCCGACCTCCGCGGAGGTTGCTTGCCTCCGCGGAGCTGCCCGACCTCCGCGGAGCTGCCCGACCTCCGCGGAGGTTGCTTTCTTATCTCCGCGGAGGTAGCTGACCTCCGCGGAGCTGCCCGACCTCCACGGAGCTGCCCGACCTCCGCGGAGGTAGCTTAGTTACGTAGTGTCGCGAAAAAAACCGTCCTGGCCCCGGGACGGTTTTTTCCAGCGCCCCTCCCAGAAAAAACCGTCCTGGCCCCGGGACGGTTTTTTTTCAGCGCCCCTCCCGGAAAAAACCGTCCTGGCCCCGGGACGGTTTTTTCCAGCGCCCCTCCTGGAAAAAACCGTCCTGGCCCCGGGACGGTTTTTTTTCAGCGCCCCTCCCGGAAAAAACTAACCGTCCTGGCCCCGGGACGGTTTTTTCCAGCGCCCCTCCCGGAAAAAACCGTCCTGGCCCCGGGACGGTTTTTTCCAGCGCCCCTCCCGGAAAAAACCGTCCTGGCCCCGGGACGGTTTTTTTTCAGCGCCCCTCCCGGAAAAAACTAACCGTCCTGGCCCCGGGACGGTTTTTTCCAGCGCCCCTCCCGGAAAAAACCGTCCTGGCCCCGGGACGGTTTTTTCCAGCGCCCCTCCCGGAAAAAACCGTCCTGGCCCCGCCGGGACGGTTTCCCAACTGCCCGTTTCCTCGTCAGAAACCTTCTTGGCCGGGGACGGTCGCCCCTCGGAGGTCACCAACTCCGGCTCTCGAGGAGGTGTTATGCATTGCGAGAACCATAAATGGCATGAGGACGGCGGATCAACATAATTTTGTCATGCCGGACTCAGACATCACGGCCCAAAAAAATTGCAGGTTCATTTGGAAGCTCCGCGAAAAGCGAGCCGCGGAGGAGCGGGAGCGACTTCAAGTGGAGGCTTCGAAGCGGACGGTACCGGAAGAGCGCGCGTCGTTCGAGAAGAAGGTCCTGCAGAGTATGGCTTGCTCAGATGTTACAATCTCAAACGTTACAATAGAGTCTGGAATATGTCTTGCATGAACAGCATGAGTACCATACAGAGACTTGGGCTTTTCACAATACAAATTTCGTCAGATTCTCATGGGGTTTAATTGGAGCTCCGAAACTTGTCATGCGCGCTCCTGTGGGAGTAGGCCAGATGTTGCGCATTTTGCAACACAAATTCCAGATTCTATTGTAACGTTTGAGACTGTAACACCTGAGCGGGTTATACAGAGGGCGGCGCAGAAGCCGCTGCCGGAGACCTTTCAGTTTTCGCATTCGAATCTCGGCCGGGTCTACAAGGACGCCAAGGACGTTTACCTCCACCACTTCGCGGAGGAGCATCGCGTCTTCCACGGCGAATACGGCAAGAAGTATGCTGCGGAGCGAGAGATGAAAAATGGACATGCGTTGGCCAAGAACTGCAATATTGCGCTGGATCTGCTGCTGCCGGAGGACCCGCAAGTGCAACGGGCACGGAACAAGGAGCAGAAGAGTGTTCTCCCGCGTGTAGTAATGCCGCCCGCTCCTGAAGAGCCATCCACGGCTGCATCGACACTATCCCCGTCGACTCCATCGGCCAGTCCGGTTGCTTCTTGCGTGTCGGGCGCGACACAAGAACCGTCGACTCGAGAAAGTCTCGCAGATCATGAAGAAGAACTGGATCATTGTGAACAAAGCTCATCTAGTTCCAAAGGAGCTCCTCGTCCTGCACCATCATCATCGCCAAACCTCGTTTCATGTTCATCTGGATCTGTTCCCGACACTGAGCACCTCGAAGGTCCTCCCCATTCCCCCGACGCACCAGCTAGCGAAAATAAGCCAAACCTGGGGGAAGAAGGAATTTGCGCTCAGAAATTCTCGTCAGCAGAACATGAAGACCAAGATACTGAGCCAGCCGTGGAACAAGTCGATGAAAAGCAGGGGCAAGAGGATGTTCTCGAAGAAGCGAGTATTGCAGATGAACATCATGAGCAATGCCACGACAGTACTTCCACCCAACCAGCTGGAGTAGACGAAGCAGCAAGTAAAAACAAGGATCAGAATAGCAGCACGGCAGCGCTGCAAATAAAACCGCAAGCAGCAGCATCTTCACCTGAGGGCAAGAAAGACCAGAAAAATGCTAGAAAGACGCCCCCTCCACCAACAGCCAAAGAACTGGCAGAGGCAAAAGCCCGAGCCGCCGCGGAAGAGAAAGCGAAAAGGGAAGCCGCCGAGGCAAGAACGCTGCAAATTCGACTTCGCGCGGGACGGAAGATCCGCGAGAGGAACCTGCGAAGCGCGCCGGTGCGGGAGCGCATCGACCGGAACTCAAGCCGGAACTGGAAATTTTGGGATGACGACGAAAACCCTTACGAGTTTGAAGATCCTGGATACCCGGTTCCGTGGTCGGAAATCTTCCAAATGGGAAATTTAGGAGCGACCGAGGACGAAAAGCGACACTTGGTGGTGCGCGAGGTACCGAGAAGGGAACGGGTCGCGCCGGTGAATCAAAAGGCTTTGGACAGGATGAACCGGAAGTACAAAGCCATGCAGAAGTGGGAGATAAACTACAGAAACTGGTGGGTGGAAGCCGAAGAAGAGTACAACAACTCTTACGCCAATCAACACGACGGCGGTGAACAAAGTTGTGATGCCGAGGAAGATGATGTCCCCTTTTACTCTTTCACCGAGGGCGAAATCAGAGAGAAGCTCAAGTCAATGGACTGGTCTGATCGTCAACTCCGTGCCGAGGCGCGGGATGCTTTGCTCCGGGACATTTGGGATGTGCTGCGACGCTTTTCTGGAAGCAGTAGTGGGACTCCAGTGACAAAATTAACGAGTGCCACATCTCCGTCGGCGCCGCCGCAGAGCAAGAAAGCCAAGGGCAAAGGAAAGAACAAGGGTAAAGGCAAGGGAAAAAAAGCTGGCGCTGTTGTTCGTAGTGCACCTGCTCCTGTACGCAAAGTAGAACCAGAACGTCGTCCACCAAAGCGACCACTACCCTGCCTGGAGCAGCTTTACAAGCGGGCCAAGGCAACTGCTATTATTACACGCAAGGCACTAGCCGTGGTGCGGGAAAGAACCAAAGCGCGCGAAGTGGAAGATGGAGTAGAATTTCCACGCGAAGATGTTGAAAAGAAAGTGGATGAAACAGCAGTTGCTGGCAAGAGTATGGACGAGCTGAAAGAGATGATGGCTAACGTCCTGCAGAGGCGACGTGATAAAGACAACGAGAAAAAACGTGTAGAAGCGGACCGGCAACGAAAGATTGAACTGTTGGAGAAACTGGTGCACAGCTCCGCCATGGAACACCGTACACTACGCCTGGTGCGTCGTGTATTGCGCGGTTTGTGTCGCGGATGCGAACGGGAGAAGAAGGAGGAGGTCGTTCAGGGCAACAAAAATGTTCCGAACGCAGACCAGGACACCAAAAGCGGCGAAAATCAGCAAAGTAGTAAAAACCCGAAGGTGGACGCAGGGAACTTGAAGTGCAAGAACGATGCGCAAATATCAAAGATCCAGCAAAATAATGAAGTGGCGAAACCACGAGTCAAAGACACCCTGTCTGTGCAGGATTTTGTGCGGTGGAAAAAAGTGAAAACCGAGAAGCACCTGCTCAGGGAGGAAGCTCGGAAACAGAAACACTTTCAGGAACTGTTTTACCCGGCACTCCCGATCGCCGCGGGCCACGCGGTGTACGCCCCGGGCGCGAAGCAGGGCGTCACGGTCTACTTCCACAAAAAGCGGAAGCGGGCGGTCCCGGGCAGTGATTACTTCTTTCCCTACTGGCTGATCAAAACGGAGCTGGACATCAACGCGATGCGGTATCAGGAACACGAAGCCCGTTTTTCCACGCTGCGGGCAGCAATTGACTGCGCGGCCGGACGGTACCGAAACCAGGCGACGCAGTTTGTCCCCAAGTACCAGCCCAAGGAGCGGGACTTTACCTACCGGGCGGGCGGCGTACTGGTGAAGGGCCGGGAAAAAATCATCGAGCCTCCCCTTAACGTCTCGGAGGCAGACAAGCTGCGGCCGGACTACCAAGTCCTCCTCCACAAATGGAAGGCGCGGCAGTTTCTCCACGGCGCGCGGAACCGCCCGATCTACGGCCGGTGGCCGCATTCGGAGGACAAAGTGGACAGCGACAACGAGCTTGATTACCTCCAGGAAGGCGAAACCCAGCCGGAAAACGAAGACGACAAGAAGCCGCATGTTCAGAATCCAGTGTATGAGGTGCTGAAGCAAAATCGCCCGAAATACCACATGCTGGGTGGCTTGTCTTACAAGGCGGCCGCCTTAGCGGACGCGCATCTCGAGTGTACTGAATACCTGTTTGCGAAGCCACCAGCGGTGTGCGCGACCCGGAGCAGATTTGCGTTCGATGATGAGGATAAGAAACGGTTTCTGCAACTACGACCGCAGGGTGAAGATTTGCGACAAAAACATGTTGATAAGCTCACGACCCAGCTGCTCCTGCCGTCCTCTACTTCGGAGATGTTGCGCCTCGCAAGTGGAGGAACTACAACCGACCGGAGTCGACAGAGAAGCACCAGATCTGACAGAGAAGTGGTTCTACTTCCATATAATCGGCGTGAACAAGACCACCGCGTCGAGTTCCAGAAGGGAACAGCATCTTCAACATCAACGGGCACCAGAACAAGCATCCAAAATTCGTCTGCACAAGTACCAGACGCAACGTTCTTCCGCTGCTGGGAGAAGGCAGCTGCTAGGAGTCGGAATATTGAAATGAATGCTCTTAAGCAGCTTCTGCTCGGTGGAGAGGCATTGCGACCAGCACGACCAGTAGCGAGGACAAAAATGTCGTACACAGACAGCTACCTGTCGTCCCTCCTCGAGAGCCAGCTGCTGACCACGCGAGAAACCTGGAAACGACAGGTCGAGTTCGCAATCGAGCAGATCGAGAATCATGGTCCTGGTTCGCTTGATAGCAGTGCAACAACTCCGATCCCCTTTGACGTCCGGCCCCTGTATTGCAAGCGGCAGGCGCGGTCCCGCATTCTCTACATTCGCGTGCGGAACCGGATGCGGCGGCTGCGAAAGCGCGCGGAAAAGAAGGATCGCGACAAGCGGCGCCGTAGGCCGCGGAGGCGGAGGAAGAAGAAAAAGAGAGCGTTTGGCGGGAAGATGAATAATAATCCCATGTTCGGCAAGAAGGGGCGCAAGAAACTTTCGGAAACCCGGTTCCGCGCGGACCATAAGGGGCGAATCTACAAGATGACCAAGACCATGAAGGGGAAAGGCCGGGGGAAGCGCGCGCACTTCACCCGCGAACGGATGGCGGGAAAGATTAAGAAAGACAAGAAGACCGGCCGGCCGAAGGCGCTGATTCGGAACGGGCAAATGTGCCGTTTGGACAAGCGGGGAAAGGTGGTGGTGAGCCGGAAAACCGGGAAGCCGTATCCTGGGTAAGAACATCCCCAAACCATAGTCAAGTTGGGAAATTTGCAACACAAATCTCCGAGGCTTGGGAGTTATGCATGACAAGTTTGGCCTCGTAGTGGAGTCCTGCTTAGCTAGTTTAGCAGCATCACAGATCTAGCGCATCATGCTGATTGGAGCATGACAAATTCCGAAACACGACTAGAGAATGCCTCTCACGGAGCTCCGCATGAGAAATATTTTCAGCATGCAGATTTGCATGGCAACTCTGGGGTGGGGACGTTTTTCCAAATGATAAGCCGGTCAGTCGACCCATCCAGGCACGGAAGATCAAGTGGAACAAGCCAATATCCTGTGCAAAAGTATCGCACTCGTGGTAATCGCAGTCATGCATTACAAATCTCCATCCCAAGATATAACAGCATGACAAATTCCATTTGTCATGCTGACCGAATTTGTGATGCGATTTCTACTAGTACGATGCTTTTGCAATGCATAGCCAAGGCCGATGGTTCACCCCTGGCGGCGGTGCAAGAAGGCCGGGCGAAGGCGCGGGTGGTACCGGAAGCGGCCCATCTGGCGGAGACAGGCGGACTGGTGGTGGAATACGACAGCGCACAACTTCCCCTCCCCCTCATTTGTATAGCATGAACGGCAACAAAAACACCAGCACACAAGGAGCCTATGCATGACAAATTCATGCGCCTAGTGTAGTACTGTTTGGGCTTCCGGAATCTGTCATGCAAACAGTGCCACAGGGAGGCGCGTGGATTTGGGGGTTTTGCATGACAAATGAGGGGGAGGGGGAGTTGTGCACTGTCATATGGAAAATGGATAAGACAAGAAGGCATGAATGGAAGCTCAACAATGCGTTCGGGGTCCGTTGCTGGAAGACCCCGGTAAAAAAGGTTTGGCGCCGCGCCCTGCTCCCCCGCGGGGCCGGCCCGAAAGGGTATCCGTCGTACTTCCGAAAATCGTGGAAGTGGAAGATGCGGCGGAGGACGGGCATGTGGAAGCGAAAATGCTTTTACAAAATCAGTGCGCACAAGATCAGCAGAAAGAACAAGAAGCGGTCGTTTAAACAGAAGCACAACTGCTACCTGAGCCGGGTGATTCTCTTGCGGCCGCGGTATTTTCAAGGGAAAAACATGAAGCGCTGGCGACGGTGGCGATCCCGGAAAGTGAAATGGCGCTTTCGCAAGTTAAACCGGAAAAGAAAGACGTGGCGGCGCGCGCACCGCTGGTACCAGATCCGCAAGAAGGCCTATCGCAAGTTGCGGCACAACCGGAAGAAAACCGTGCTCTGCTATTTCGACGTGGACGCATATGGGAACATCGTCGGTCGCAAGGAAAATGGTCTCACTGGCGACTTGGCGAAAAACTACCGGCTGGTGCGCGAGGTGAAGCGAGTCCAGGACAAGGGGAAAACTGGGGCTTGGACCTGCTTCCATTGCCAGTTTCGGAACGGGGCTCGGCGGATCACCTGTCGAAGGTGCAATGCGCCACCACACCAGCTGGTGCAGCAGCCCGGAAGAAACAATGTGAGTTCATGTGCCACTTTCGCCCCAACATCATGTCGTCCACTACTAGGCACCGCCAGGCCGTCGTGGGACGATGCGCAAGACTTCTACCGATTAGCTTTCACCGGCCAGGCCGTGGCGCCGAGCGAAAATTTAACGGACTGGAACCTGGATTTGCTGCTCCACGTGGCTACGCGAAACTGTGCCGAGCTGAATCAGCGGGTAGTAGTACAAGAACGTGTGGGAAATACTGCAGGAACAGGGCCGAAGATGACAGATTCCACTCTGAGGAAAAAGCAAACGCCGGAAGATGATCTTCATTCTGAAGCAGGAGACCACGACACAAAGATCATTATAAACCGCGCAAAAATGCAACTGCTGAGCCGACGTAAAAAGGAGGCTCGAAAATACAACGAGTGGTACGACAACTTGTATGAGCAACAAGTTTTGAAGAGAAAATCCCGGACGAGGAAAACGCTTTTGGTCCGTGACGACGCCACAGGCGAACTTTTCTGCGTCCCGGACTACCGAAAGGTCCACAAAAAGCACCGGCTCGAGTCCTACAAACAAATGCGGCGGCACCTGCCGCCGGTTTTCTTCCCATTGATGGAATTGAGTGCGAAAACAGATCAGTACCTCGCGGAAGTGGAGCAGAATCTAAAGAACAAGTTCGGGCTCTACGACCGGGAGTTCTGTCCGCGCGGGGCCTTATCGGTCGCGGAGATGCTGGAGGACGACGATGTGATCTTGTCACAAACTGGTGTGACCCGTCACGTGAAACGGCGACGGGACAGCGCCATCCCCTGGGACCGCGCCCAGGCGAGCGTGGGGATGCTAATGCAAGCGGAACTGACGACCACCTTGGACTACTACGAAAGGCGGACAAGGTACGACGAGATGCAACTCGTTGTTCCCCGCGGCGGCCGCCAGGAGCTTCAAGGGAAGGATTCGCGGTCCCCCGAAAAGCACCTGCACAACGAAGACGCGAGATTCTCAGCCGAAAGGCTCGGCGAGGAGATTCTGACCCCAATCCGCAAAGTGGTCGGCCCGCACCTGTATGAAGGGTGGAAAAACGCCATTCTGTTGCGTTTGAAACAGGGGCAGCAGCAGTACGAAGCAGGATCACGACTTCTACGCGAAAATAGTAAGCCTCCGTTAGTACCAAAGCACTGGGCCGCGTGTGGCCTGCAACTTGCGCCCTGCTTTGTTCAAATGCAGCAGCAGCAGCAGCAGGTAGTGGGAACAACGGGATCTGAATCTGCTTCTACCTCTCCTTCTCCTACTCGGCCCTCGATCGATGGCACAGCAGCTTTATCAAAACCGACTCCACCTTCTGCTGCAATTTTGCCACAGGACATCTCGCGCGGGCCGGCTGTGCCGGTGGTGCAGTGGAGAAAGGCGCAGCCTCTTGCGCAAAAGGTTCGAGCACTGGCAAACGGCGAAGCGGTGTTGTATCGGGAAGTTCACATACAGGATCAACATCTTGATCAACATTTTCTCGGTCCGACTTTCAACGGTGCTTCTACTTCCGGTTGCAGCAGCTCACCTGAAGATGCTTTGGCAAATGACAGACAAAATGCAAGAGATCCAACAGCACAAAACGTACAAGAACTACCGGCAGACGAGCAAATGTCTGCCCAAGGGCAACCTCCAGGGACAAGCAGGTTCTCCTCAACAAGTAGGCACAGTTCATCGAAACAGACGAGCGACGTTGTTGACCTGGATGAAGAAGATGATTTGCAGCCTGCTGCTTTGGATGAAGCTGCGAGGGAGCATCACAATGACTGTGGCTCTATTGCATCTGATGCGCCTTCAGATCGGGTTTCTCTCGTGCTGACTACCGATGACGAGGAAGAGGAGGATCATGATGTTGCAGAAGAAGTACAACTCTACTCCGCTGTCAAGACCGCGGGAATGAGAGAGCTGCAATGGGAAGAGGACCGTCTACTTGCAGAAGATATTGATCAACAGCAGGAAAAATTAGCGCAGGAGTTCCAGGATCAGCAATTTGCTAGTTCTCCTGCACGAACACTTTCGACTTGTCCATCTCCCTCACAGGAACGAACAAGTGAAGCAAGCAGCATGTCCCCGCCCCCGGTCGTGCCACCTCAAAGAGCTTTCCGCTTCGCCACGCCTTTGTACAAAAAATTCAACTCCCAGCGCTCTGCGCCGCACCACCTGCACCGCCTCGATTACTACGATAAGATTCTAAGGGCTAGCTACGAGCAGAACTACCAGTTTGACGACCAAGGCGACCCCGTGCCGACTTTTGCACCGCGGGACGTCGGAGAAGGCGGTGAAAGTGACAGTGAGAGCAGTTTGTCTTCGCTGTCGTCTTTTAACTCCGACGACTTCATGTCGTGGAAGTCATCCGACAGCGATAGCGTGTCTTCGCCCTCGGTGTCATCTGTTTCTGATTCCGATGATGAGGGCGGCCAACGTAAAGCTAATGCGAAGAACCTCCGGACGGCGTCTGATGGCGATGCCTCGTCCATCTCCGACAGTGACGAGAACGACTCTAACGATTCGAACGACCTGGAAGATGTTCTCTCCCGTAGCCGCAGCAGCGATACTGTGAGCGAGATTGCGGAGGAGGACAAAATTCAGCAGCATTTCCTGGATTGGGCCAAGGTGGAGAACCCCGAGGCGTTTTGTTTCCACCACGACGGGGTGATGCCCCACAGATCGTACGAACAGGAGCTCAAGGAGGAGAAGCGGCAAGACCGGCTTTTTGAACGCGAGGAGGCGAAGAGGGAGGCGAAAAGGGTGAAAGAAGAAGCGAAAGAACGCCGTCGCGAAGAGAAAATGGAAGCCAAGAGAAAAGAGCGGAAAGAACAGAAGCGGCAGGAGAGGAAAAAGCAGGAAGAGTCCGTGGAGGGACGGCGGAATCAGCGGAATTTGAGGAAAGCATGGTGGCAAAGCGCGGTGGAGGAGAAATGGGAAGAAAGTAGAAAGAGGCAGAAACAGGAGATTGCGGAAGTCGGGTTGAAGGCTGTTGTAGAGAAAGGGCTTTGTACTCTCGGTTTGTCGAAGGTAAAAGAGTTTCTGACAATGCAGCAGCAATGGAATGAGTTTCTGTTGCAACCAAAAACGGACAAGTTTTTTGCGCAGTTGGGCTGCAAGACTCCAGAGGTCGAGCTGCAGTTTCATCCCGGTTCTTCAACTACTTCCCAGCAGCCGTGTTTGTTGACAACAGGAAAACACGCGCACGAAGAACCGCTTTTCGAGTACGAGCACTTTCAACGCTGGCTGCGCATGAAAGAAGAAAAGCAAGATATCGTGGACCAAGTGGCTTTGTTGGTTCAGCGTGTGCGATCGAAGCTCGGTTCTGATCGTGCAAAAATGCCGTCGCGTCTGTTCGAACTGGCGCTCCAGGAGTTCCAGAGACAACGAATACTTCGGCAAGGAAAATACATGTCCGCGCCAAGTGCAAGTTTGGTCTTCCCAGCAGGTGACCGCTCTCTGATGTCGAGCAGCTGTCGTGGGTTCGATTATAGGGAGGGGCTGTACAACAGAGGACAAACTACACGCCGCGCAGATCATCTCCTAATCGACGATGTGGAAACGTGGAGCGCGAGAATAAATCAGGATTGCGACGTGAAGATCGCGCTGCCTGTGCCCGCACAGAAACACAGAATGCGGGCGATGGAGCAGCTGGAGCTTGCCCGCCGTGCGCGGCAGTTCAGGGAAGCGGATATGTACAGCACGAAAGGGTTCGAATTCTCTCCAGCCGGGATCGAATCTCTGGCGAACTTCTTGATGCCGTTTCACCGGGGAGAGGAGCACTTTGAGTGGATGAAGCGAAAGAAATTGCAGGAATTTTCCGGGCCTGAGAATTACTTACAAAACGGCGCGCACAAGACGTTCTCCTTTCAATCCCCAGGAGATAAACCGGATAATTCTATGCTCGTACCTCCTCCGCCCGGGAAAAGATTTTCGACGAACGAATTTGAAGGAATAAATGCACCCTACATGATGGGTCCGCTGGCGCCGGCGTGCTTCGGACATTTTGCGATTCCGATAAGCAATAAACCGGGGTCGGAGCCCGACCCGCGAAGCCAGGAGATCATGCCGTCTCTTTTGCGAGCCAGCGTGCACAAGCAACGGTTCGTCCCGTGGGATCCGGATCAGCTCGAAATTCAGATGGCCATTCAAACCGCCGCAGAGCAAGATTACTTCTACACGCTGGCGCGAGACCGGGCCAAGTGGTTCGCCGATCGGGAAAGACGGAAAGCACAGCAGTTGAGAATAAAGAGGTACGAAAATTATAACGACAACGACGAGGACAACGACTGCTCCTCTGCAGCTTCGGACAACTACGACGTTGCGAGCGACCCAGAGGCTGAGTATGACGCCCTGGGCAAGGCCGACTTGTTCAGGGACATTTTGCGCGTAACGGGACCGCTTAACCAGGCCAACATCGAGCCAAAGTCGCAGCGGTTGTGGAAAGAGTTTGCGAAGAAACTTCCGGCGTTTTTCGCCCAGAGACGGAAAGAGAAGAAGACAAGCAAGACGAGAAGAAAGGTGAACAGGTGGTGGCGGAAGCACCAACGAAAGAAGAATTTCGGCAAAATCTCCTCGACGATGAAGAGCAAGTACAACGCTGGAGTTGTACCAAACCGCAACGACTCAAAGCCTTTTGTAAAGGAAATTCCGGTGGAAATGGAAAAGGAAGAGCAAGCTTTGTGCCATGCAGACAACGGCAATAATGACCATCCTGTCGGCAATTATCTTCCCGAGAACAGCCTTGCACAAGAACATGTGCCGCAGCAAGCCCTCGACAACGTTTTTGCAATATCAACATCAGAAACCGTGGGCACAACTACGGCAACTGAGCTGCACCTGCAACTGAGCACGGCGCCGTCCGATGGCACCAGATGCGCGTCAAGTAGAACTCCTGCGACAAGCGAGCCGCTGCAGTTTCACATTGGCACACCAGAAAAAACGAGAACAGCAGAAGAAGTAGCACAGGATCATGGGCCACCACCAGCACAGCACTTTGCGCTGTTTACACCGGAGGAGCTCAATCAGCCTCTCGTTATCGGCGCGATGGATGAGGACGGATTAGACAGCTGCTGGAACAACCAAACGTGGTCTTCGGCCACTTCGAGCTATTCAGATTCCGTCTATAATCCCGCCGCGTCAACGGCATTTGTTCATGGCGCGGGAGGAGATCATCCTGCAAGTAGTGTCGTCTCTGGCGCCGGCGGCAGTGTTGGCCAATATTCCGCCTTTTTCGGGTCGGACTCCAGGCCGGTGAGTCCACGGCAGCGTTTCGCAACTGAGGGTTCCGTGGTCTTTGCGGAAAGCTTGGATTCGTCGCCGATCTGCCAGCCAGGACAACGGTTCTTCGATCCGGAAGTCTACAGTGGAGTGGAACAAGCGGTATTGCATTGTGATCCACCTCGACCACGTGGACAAGAAGAAGACCAAGACGCGCACCAGCCGCGGGGACCTTCAAGAAGAGCAAGGGCTAATACGCGCGGAAGTCTTCTTTCGAGCCGTCCACCAGCTTCGCCGTTGAGCGTGACCCCGGCACCGTCGTACGATCCGTCCACGGTGGACCTGCACGGTACCTTTAGTATCCGCGGAGAAGGAGGGGACTTCGACTCCCTCGCCGCCTCACAGCAGACAGTTCCACTTTACGACGGGGCCTGCACTACGAGTACAACTACGCGAGTTAACAAGAGTGGCGTATTCCGGAACGAGGAGCTTCTGGTAGATACCAAGCACGATGGTCGAGAAGAAGAAGTCGGTGATAATGTTGTAGCGGAAAATTCTGCAAGTGGTTCTAGTTCCTCTTCTGCGGTGGATCATCGTTTGCCGGCGAACTTCTCTTTCCAATCCGACGCCAGCAGCGCCAGTGTCAGTGAAGAGGATGATGAAGACCTTCCTCTAGTTGGACATCAAAAGGAAACACTGCTTCCGAGAGAGGACGATGACAGTAGCAGCAGCAGCAGCAGCAGCAGCAGCGACGATGATAACGAAAGCAGTCTCGACGGCACAACCAAGAAAAAGAAAAAGGTAAAGTCCACACTGAACCCAGATGCGCAGGAATTTACCCCCGGGAAAAAAACCCACGGCGGGCCATCGACCCTGCAACAGTGGATGCGCGTCTCGCCTCCACAAAATGACAGCATTGCTACACCTCGGCTCGACGTAGCGTCGCCCCCGTTATTGGGCGAAGCCGGCTCTTCGCCATTTACGCCGGTCAGCGAAGCTCAAGCGGTGGCCTGGGAAAGGCGCGGCGAAGGTCGCGGCCAGAACTCTACTTCGGACGTCGACGAGGACAGTCTGCTCTCCGACTCGGAGCAGGAGGAGGTTCTTTCCGCGCAAAAAAAGGACGCAGCTGCGGATGAAGATTCGTCCGATTCTCTGTCTTCTTTTGAGAAAGAGTGCGAGATGGAGGAGCAAGCTCGTCGTGAAAAGTATGCTTGTAACGACGGTGTTTCCCTCGTAGAACACGAGGCTCAGACGACAGGTGGAACAGGAACTAGTGCCCCCTGTAACGAAGATCTTGTATGGTGTGCAGCAGACGAGGATATATATGGAGAACAACTTCTTCTACCCGACGAAGAGGATAACGAGTCCTGTTCTCGCCTGAGTCCAATGCACTCCCCCCGCCCGCGTCACCTGCTGGAGCTAACAGACTTCGAGTATGTTGATGGCAGGAAGACGACGGATGAATACAGATTATTCCTGGAAGGCTGCCGGGACTACGTCCACCCGAACTCGTTCGAGGAGAACCTGGACCGATTTCAGAACCTCGACCGCATCAACCTCATGAAAGAGCTTCTAGAAAAGGACCGGCCGACAAGCTGGATCCGCCGCAAAGCTGAAAAAGACGGGCCGCTTAGTGTCCTTCTGGACTTGCGCGATGCTGCTGTGGAAGCAGGAAGGTACAAAAACGAAGAGGAAGGCGAAGCAGAAGCAGGAGTAGAAGCCGGAGCAGAGGAAACGAGCATAGTTGTCCGAGACTACTTCTATGTTGAACCCGCGGCTCAGGCACCTATTCCTGGGTGGAACGAGTTCGTTCCCGGTAATTTCTGGCACGTATGCTATATGTCGCCTTCCACAATGCCACCCACACATTTCTTCGCTACCAATGAAGCAGTCGACTATGCCTGGGATAATAGACAGCTTTGGGAAAAAACGGTGCAGCTAGAGCAAAAGCGGTATCAACTCGCACAGGACGCCCGGAGCAGAATAATGTACGGGGCGGTGGAGGCGAAGAGAATTAAAGATGAATTGAGTGAGGTCGTAGTAGATACATGCGCAGCTGAGCAGATCCAAAAAGCCGAAGACGCGAAGGAGTGGGAACTGCGGGAGCAAAAAGCAAGACAGAAGGCAGAAGAGAAGCGAAGGAGGCAGCAGGAAGCGGAAAATCAACGGCTCATCGACAAGTTTGGCGGGAAAGTGATTCGCTGGTCGGAAAAAACAAAATCTGGGGACTGGGAAGTCTACTACGAGATCGTTCCCGACAAAGACCGTATAAATGCGCACAAGAGAGATCAGAAAGAAATCGCAGGGAATATCGATGCTTTTTACGATGCCCAGCAGGCGCAGGTCAGCGCCCGGAACAAGCAGGAGGAAGCCCAGCTGGATCATGCGCCGCTTGGTCAAGAAGCACGACCATCGCAAGCCACTGGAAGGAAACGCGCAATCCTCGACTTAGCAGGGACCGACGACGATGATGATGACAACGAAAGTGAAGACAACTGGTTTCACACCGCGGGAAGCAAGACTGGTAAGAGCACTGCACAGCGAAAAATACCGCCGAGGCAGAAGATGAAGCGTACTCCGCCAGAGGAGATCATCCCTTGGCGGCGGCTGCTGGACCCACCTCCCCACGTCCAGAAATTCCTCGACTACACCTATGCTGTGCAAAAGCATCGTACTAGTAGAAATCGCATTACAAATTCGATTAGCATGACAAAGGGAATTTGTCATGCTGTTTTACCTTCGGATGGAAATTTGTAATGCATGATTGCGATCCTTACAAGTGCGACTGCGATACTTTTGCACAGGATCACGCCCGCCAAAGAGCGAAGGACAAGTCCGAGGGAAAAAGAAGGCGAAGTTCCGTATCAACTTTTGAAGACGACGACTCCGGGCCTGATGCAGCTCAATTACTAGATGAAGGACAAACTTTGATACTCCAGCGCCTGAAAGCCGAAAACAAGCAGAAGAAGCAGCTGGAAAAAGCAAAAAAGAGAGGACGGGTCAGCCGCTGGAACAGGATGGATCCGGACGAAAACATCGACTGCTTTGACGGCGACATCGCCACCGAGCCGGTCACGCTCGCTCGCGATTTTGAGGAAGAGGAGTTCGCGGCGTGGCAGCAAGAGTTCGGCGGTCCTGCGGTCGTTCCTTCTGATGCACATACATCTTCCGCACTCGAGAACGACGACGACGACGGGGGGAAGAATTTTTTTGGCTCTGATGATACTAGCGATACTGAAAGCGATGAAACTGACAGCAGCTTTTCCTCTGGTGACAGTGACTTCGAGCTCGAGGAGGAAGTAGAGACTGATGGTGTACTGTTTTCTGCCGTCCCGACCGCTCCTGCTCCGAGACGTAGTACGAGCGCGCTTGTCGTCGCACCGTCTGGTTCACGCGATATCAACCACTGTCACGACGACGTCGATCCTCTGCGCATGACAACTCTACGGGTCCGCGTCCAAGAGTCGGACACGAGTTTTCGTTTTCTGCGTCGCGAAGCCTCAATGGGCGTGAACGAACAGAGGATCCTGAAAAAGGTGACGCAGCCCAGCCGGTGGGCGGACGTGCACTTTGGCGGTTTTGATAAAGCGGAGAACCTCCTCGATCCCACACAACATCCGTTTTTCCAGCGGGAGCAACAGCTCTCTCTAGTCCAGGAGTCCTACCAACCGGAGCCGTTTCTCTTCCCACGCTCGAAGAAAGACGCGTGGAAGTTGCAGTGGAAGACCGCAGAGTGGTTCCATTTTAAGAAGCGCAACAGGACCAGCAAGGCGAAATTTGGGAAGAAATGGCGGAAAGTGTTTTTGAAAAAGCAGAAGCGTGGTCTCTGGCCAAACAATTTGGACCGCATGCAGGACTACCAGATGGAGAAGATTGCGTACGTTTGTCCCGTATGAAGTGCAAATATGTCTGGGTCTCGAAGGATGTAAACTTGTCATGCTGCGCTTGGATTGTAAACAAATCTGTATTGCATGACCAGCAAGACAATAATCCAGTTTGCGCTCCGCGGAGAAGGCATTTCTTATGCGGAATAGGCATCAGGAGGCCCTGATGAAAAGATCTGTGATGCTAGGCCATGCATTGCAGGTGTCATGGGTCATCGCAAAATATGCATGACAAACTTGACAATCTTCCAGACCCAGACATATTTGCACTTGATATCCCGATGGTTTGACCCACTACCCCGCTGTGAAAGCTATGCATTGCAAAAGCATTGTACGTAGTAGAAATTGCATCACAAACTTGATGCTCAGCATTACAAATGGAAAAATGGAATTTGTAATGCTGGTTTACCTATCAGAGAGCAGATTTGTCATGCATGACTGCAATTACAACGAACACGACATTATTTTTGCAATGCATAAAGGCGGGCCTTGTGCAAGACCACCCGATCCTTGCGCTCCAGGCGCACAAAGCAGAGCTGGTTCCCTACGACCGTCCGCAGAACGTGATGATCAAAAAACTCAAGCCGGTTTTCGAAACGCAAGTGAAAGAGAAGAAGCGGGAATTTCTCCTGCGCGAAGACATCCAGCGGCTGATAGATTACAAGGGCAGACCGCTCGAACGCAGTCCGCCGATGATCCGCCGGAGGCTGCGGGAAGTCGACGAAGAGCTCCAGTGTGTCCAGGAAGAATACATCAACGCCAAGAGGGAAGCGGAGCAGGCCGAAGAAGACGAAGAGCGTGCAGCTGATGAGATCGAGTTTGGCCTCGAGGATCTGATTCAAATGGTCGGGGAAGATTCGTTCCACGTCCAGGAGCTTCGGGAAAAGCAACGAGAGCAGTTGCGGGAGGAATTCCGGCAGGAGAAAAAGCGACGGTCCAAGTCGGAACGGCAGCGGTACCGCGAGGAGCAGGAGAGACTGGAACGGGAAAAGCAGAAACTTCGCGAGAAAAACCAGTTTAAACGGGAGCAGGACAAGAAGGTGCGGGAAGCGGAAAGACGGCGGCTGGAAGAAGACTTCGAACGCTTACATGCCGATCGACAGAGCCTCCGGCAGCTGTGGGTGGACGAGAAGGAGCGGCGAAGGAAAAAGGGCTTGAAAATCTTCGACAGCGACGACGGGAAGGACACGAGTGAAAGCAGTTCCGATGAGGAGGAAAATGCAAGCCACGACATGGTAAACCTTCGCAAGCTTCTGCAGTTGGGGAATAACAAGGAGCGCAGCTCTCGTGGTGAGCGACGGCGACGAGAAACAAGGTCCGCTCGGGGAAATAAAACGAAAAATAGCAGCACCTCGTCTTCTAGTAGTTCGAGTTTAGCAAAGGAAAATGATGAGGCGAGAAGTCGTGCCTCGCAGAAACTCGAAGTTGGCTACCTCTCCAGTTCTGACTCTTCCGACAATGATTCGGTCAGCACTGAGAATGACGACTTTGACGAGCAACGCATTCTTCTCACGACAAAACCGGCGAGAACTACACCAGCAGCTTCCGGGTCATCTTCCGGCGGTGGTACAAGTAGAACAACTCGTACAACTTTAAGAACTAGAGTCCCTCGTTTCATTGACCAGCGAACAAACTTCGCGAAGGATGTGGTCCAGATGGAGCAGCGAAGGGATAAAATTTTGGAATTAAAGCAACGCCAGGCGGCGGTGCGCCGCGAAAGGGAGAGAAGTTTTCTCGGTAGAAAGCACAAAGCAGCGCAGCAAAACCAAAACTACTCATCGTCGTCCGGAGAGAAGCTGCAAATCACGACGTCAGCTGGCGCGCCGAACAAGCCGGTAGTTGTACTCCCGCCGCTCGGGTCGTACCAGGCGCGCGACGCACAGCTCCTAGTAAAGGTGTTCGCGGAACAATTCGACTTTTTCAGCACAAGAACTTCTTCGTCTTGTTCGTGGTCGCAAGCAAGTGGTGGAACGAATTTGACCGCTAGGTCTGGAGCCACTGCAGAAGTCGAACTCCTCCAAAACCTTGTGCAGACGACATGGCAAGAGATCCAACTGGAATACAAATCAGTCACATTGGAAGAGCGGAAGAGGGAAGAAACAACAGCGATGGCGAACGAAGAGAACCAAAAACAGCTTGTCAAAGCCGAGGTCAGAAGGACAAAAGACGTAATCCGGCAGCGGGAAAAACTCCGCTACCTGCAAAGGCGGGAGCGGAAACTACAGAACAAGCGGAAGAGAGTGGATTCGGAAATGGCAGAAATGGAGATGAAGCGGCTGCTGCAACACCGGGCGATGGCGCTGGCGAAGTTGAAAGATTTGGAACAAATAGGCGTTGGACCACCAAATAGTGCTACTTCGGAAGAAATAAATCAGAAAACTTCAAACGACGACCCCGTACCACCCGGACCAGGGCAGGATGAAGAAGACGACAGCTCGAGTCTGCCTAGTAGTCGTGCCAGTTCGAGCTCTGAGGATTGGAGCGGCCCGCCGTCTACTGAGAGTGAAGCAGAAGATGGCGAAGATGTAGATGGAGGTGTTCCTCCTTCATCTCCCGATGTTGAGGACCACACTGTCACTGTTGACCTTTCTGCAGCACCTAGTTGTCCTAGATCACCACCATCATCCACACCACCTTCAGATGACGGCTCTTCTGACTTGCCAAGCGATAAGTCCAGCTCGAGTTCTTCTGACCGCGTTGGAGACGATATCAGCGAAAGCAGCGCTAGTGATAGCGAAACAGATGGTGGTCCTGCAGCCAACGAGGATAACAATAAATCGCTCATGAGAAGAACATCTTGTGAGAAGAAGTGCGACGAAGAACCGCTGCAAGGAGAGTATACCGACCAGCACAGCACGGAAAAAGACGAGAAGTCTTCGCTGCAACGGCCACCATCTCCTCCGCCACGAGAACTCATTTTGACACTGAATCCGGAATGGCTGCCATTCTTCGTGTATGAATTGCAATAAAAGCATCGTACTAGTCGTAATTGCATTACAAATTAGCTCAGCATGCCAAATAGAATTTACCATGCTGATTTACCTTGGGATGGAGATTTGTAATGCATAATTGCGATTACTACGAGTGCGATACTTTTGCGCAGGATATTGTGGAACTGCAAGACTGCGGGTTGCTCTCCCTTGCGAACTTTCTATCAAATGCAAAAATGTCTGGGTCTGGAACAAAGCAACTTGTCATGCTAAATCGGGTTCATGTAAAAATCTGTATTGCATGATTACCCAAAGCTGTCCACTTTTGACCTAATCGAGAGGCAGTTTCTCATGCAGGATGGGCATGATAGAACTCTCAAAGAATCTGTCATGCTATGTCCTACATACGAGACCTCATGGGTCATGAAAAAGCTGCATGACAAATCTCGCATTCTTGCAGACCCAGACACTTTTGCATTTGATACTTTCCGGGTGTAAGCGAAATCCGGGTGGCTGAGCCTGGGGACTACATGATGAAAAACAAACGGGCGACAACTTCTTCAGGGCGCACGACTGACATGTTGTCCGCGGACTCGCAAATGGACGAGTTTGAAGACCTTGACCCGGAGAAAGCCCACGAAATGTTTCAGATATCGAAGCGGCTCGCGGAAAGGAGCTTGTTTTTCCGACGGGAAGAGTTTCGCCAGAAGAGGAGAACAACTACAGAGCGTAAAAGTACATCGGAAGTTGGCGTGGACAAGAAGAGCAGCGGTATAATGAAATCTCACAGCCAGATGAACATCGTCAAGCCTCCTGCTCCAGCGGAGGAAGGATCTCCGTCCAACCCGAGCAGCGCAGGGGCGCCGAAGATACTTGAGCCTCGGGTTCGCACGACCGTAGAAGAAGACGTTCTTCCAACACAAGCACAACCGTGGAGGATGACGAAAGCGCAAGACCGCGCACGTGCACGCACTCGAGCCCGCGAAAACGAGCAAGAATTGCGGGACTTCAAGTACAAGACGACACACGCAATTTACGAAGACGCGGCTCGCCGAGTAGGGTCTTTGGTGGACAGTGGCCACTGCTCCGTGACGGAAGCCTGCTGGCATTACGGCTACATCGAAATCTGCAATTTTTTCCACCGCGCGGCCAAGGACCTCTACTGCGTAGTATCCTCCACCTCGAGCAGTAGTTCTGGTGTCGGGGATAGAAATTTTCGTAAAAATCCAAAGTATCCGTACCTCAACTATGTCGAGGGACAACTACCGTGGGGCGGGCTGCTCGAACGCGGCCTGAAGAGAGACGCAAGGCTGCTGGCACACTTCGTGTCATCACCGGGTGGTCGTGCTGGTAACACGAACGCCGGTTCAATGTCTTCTCGGCGGTTACAACTTGAAGCTACAGCGCTTCTGTGTGGGTTACGTGGCGATGCTGCGGAACAACAGTTCTTTTCCTGCTGGCAAGAACATGATCGAGAACGGCATAAAGAGTCATCAGCTAGAACTACCAGGAAGGCCCGTAGGATCGCTGCGGAGGAGCTCCGTGAGGAAATCGAGTCCGCGCGCGAGGACTTCCTGTGCGAAGTATTGCAGGAGGTCCGGACTGAGAAGCTGTGGGACGACGTCGACCGGGAGCCAATGCCAGACCAACAGCCTCCACGACCTGTCGGCGTCAATAAAACTACCGATCATCATGCAGGAGTTCTTGTACGAAAATCTTCCACGATGATCGCTGATCCAAGGCGGATGTTGGAGCGAGCTGGTCAGCGCATTCTGCAACGCGAGACGTTGTTTGCACTAGGGGAAGAATTATTGTTTCCACGTGATGAAAATCAAACTGGAAATCCACTGTCGACGATGATGAATTCTGTATCCACTGCAAAAGAATCGTACTCGTAGTAATTGCAGACATGCATTACAAATCTTGTTCCTAAGCTAAATCAGCATTACAAATTTTATCTCTTATGCTGAGGAAATTTGTAATGCATTTATACGAGTACGATACTTCTGCGGAGGATATTCTGCGGTTCAACCGGATTTCGGTTTGTTTTCCTCGTCTAGTACGAGAAATAGTGCTTTGCACGACGACGTCGTCGACCCTCCATCCCTCACCGACATCATCGACCTGGAGTTCTGCTGGACACTGGCCAGATACTTCTTCCGCCAGTATGCCCTTTGCGAAGAAGGAGGACGAAGGACGTGGTCTTTTCGGGGTTTTTCTTCCACCTCCTCTGCACCACCACAATATCACTGGATACTACGAACGGCGCACTGGTCCCCGGAAGAGCGGCTGCAGTTGTTCCAGGCCCGGGTAAAAGAACAACTCGAAGATCATAGTGTGCGGACACTGAAAGAAATTTCCAGAACTTGATGAGATTCGTTCTTGTGGAAAATAGAAAAATTGGTGATCTTAATATGTTCTGTAAATATTTCGGATCTTCCAATGTCGTGTCGTAAGGCTTTTCCACCAGAACCTTCCAGTTGTATTTCCTTTTTATTTTTATACGCAAAGTCGTATGGAAATAAACTTCGACGGATTCAGTGAAGAACGCCTTGCAATCTATGTATATCAAATAAACCGTCGAGGCCATGCGGATTTTTGAAGATTTTTTTGATGTTTATCAAGATATTTATTATATCGGCGCTACTTCTTCCCTCTGGGATTTTACACAGCAATATAAGACACACATGAAGATCAGAGCACACCTGAGGAACAAAACAAAATAAACGATACTTAGCTTCGCGTTACGCAAAATCGAAATTTTGCTAAACGTAAATCATTCTTTCACTACGATTGTGTTGAAGTACGAGGTTATTGTCACCTCTTTCTACGTATGGGTATGCAATGCAAAAGCCTCGTACTAGTATAAATTGCATTACAAATTGGAAGCCCTTCAGTACAAATTTAACTATGCAATGCGGATTTAGATTTACCTTGAGAAAGAGATTTGTAACGCATAAACTGCGAGAGTGAACCTCTAGGCACATTACCACGGCTTGGTCCTGGTCCACCTCGCAGAAAAACCGTCCTCACCCCACTCTAAACCTTACACTTGCTTTACACCTACTTATAGCGAAGATTTAGAACCTAGCTCAGCTGTGCTGTTGAGATACAGAACATGTGATTCAGTTTGATATATTGATAGATAGAGCTGAGTTTGATATATCCATTCAAGCAATTGAATCCAAGAAGTTGAGCACTTCTACATCAACACCAAGACCCGTAGTTATCAGGACAATATCAGAAAATTTTCCCAAGAAGACTTTATTTCTCAAGACGCAACTATTTTTCCCTCTCTGTTATTTCTCTAGAATTGTCGATACACATAGATCACGCAACAGTACCTACGCTTAAGATCAGCCATTGACGACTATCCTTCCCTGCGTAAGCATCTGAATTTGGTATGACTAGGAAAATAAATCTCGACGTATAGATACAACGTACATTGGAACCACTCAATAAACAAACAAAATAAAGAGCAAGAATATTTCTAAATACGCTAAACTCCAATTTTAGTTTTTAACGCCTGCTCAGAATCAAATACAAATTTCGAATTTCTCATTTACGCATTTGTATTTGTTTAGTGGGAAGAAACCCGGAAAATGAAATAATTACAGCGATAGAAACCCGGAAAATGAAATAATTACAGTGACAACAACCTCCTTCTATTCTCGGAAAGCGAAATATAACTACAGAAGAAAACAACGACGATATGTTGACTGCGCAAAGTTTTATATTTATTCGAGGTACAAGTACCTCCAAACTAACCCCTCTACGAGTACGAAGTTGGTCGTGTCCGTCTCCGCGTTTCCTGCTTCCAATGACGAAGTTGCACCGCATAAGTGGGCGTCAGAAATTCCTACTGCCCCAAATTTTGTTTTTGGGGCAGCAACATTATACGTAAAGGTAAGATACTATGGCAGCGTCTGAGTGATTACTGTCAAGGCGATTCAAAAATTCCCATTTCAAATTAAAAACATTGCAGTATCAGGTGCTCTTTAGGTGTTGTTTCGCGCGTCGCGTGCGCGCGTACAGGTGCCGTCTCCCGTGGTGGTAGCAGTTGGAGAAGAGTACGCAAGTCAAAACGAGCGCTCCAATTTGAGCTAGCTAGATAAGGCAACTAGTTTGGTCATGCTTAAGGTGAAATCAGAGGCCGGAATAGGCCCTCTGGAAGCGGGTTCGTTGCTGCTTGCCCAGGTGCCGGCTGATTGCTGGTTCCTGGTGCCCCGTCATGGTATGCTTTGTTTTTCGTCATATCATCGGCGGAAGGCATTTGCGGACCTCTCTAGAGACCTCTCAATGAGCCTCGGACTGAGCCTCTCAATCACGCTGAGAAATTGGCGCTCAGATAGAGGCAAATTGATAGGTCTAAACTTCCATTTAAAAACCTCTGTTGAATCGCGGCAGCAAAAAATGCAAATTTTTGACGGGGCACCAGCGGCAACAGGCGTGGCAGGATACCTTACAAGCGGCGCTATTGGCGCCCATATTAGCCTCAGCTACATGCTTACTTCATACCCTATTTAGACATCCTCTGAGCTGCCTTATCTAGCTCGCTCAAATTGGAACGCTTTTCATATGCATAAATTGGAGCCCGGATGTTGACGCACCACCGGAACCGCGACGGCAACCACCCTGCAGACCCGCGACGAAGAGATGGATACAGCTTGGGATAAGAGTTGTTTTTAAATTGAAATGGGAATTTTTGAATCGATAAAACAATAATCACTCAGACGCCGCCATAGATACTTTTACTTTTACTTTCAACTTATTTGCGTCGGAAAATCAAATTACTACTCTAAGTGGGACACCGTGCTGCTACGGGCAGCACGGAAAATACGCAATAAGTATAAATGAAGCTGGTGACATTGATCATCAAGCTCAGAGTTCTTTTCTAGGCTGCTTTATTTCGCAGCGATGAAAATGCAATAGAACGGCACCGCATTTTGCGAGTCCGTGAAGAAGTCGAAAGTGCTGCTAGTTTAGTACCACTTTCGGTTCTTGCTAGTAGTATTCTCGATATTTTTTTTTCATGTTTTTGCGCATGTTGCTTTTTTTCATATCACGCCAAAAAACATGTAGTTTTTGTCTACATCAGTAGATTTTGTTTGATGTGGAGTTGTATCTATGCCTTTGCCCGTGCCCCGCACATAATATCTGAAAAAAAGAAATAGAAATGGCAAACATTTTATATCCTTCTGCAAGCACATGCAATAAAAAGGGCTTTGTTCACTCCGCGTCAAACCAACTGAACTCATTCCATTCTTTCGAGCTCGACAAATCTTTCTACGGAAGAGAAGCAGCGAGGTGTTTCCTGCGGTAAAAACAGGCGAGAAAGCAGTTTCTGCCTCTATGTGTGAAGACCACTCCCCTACAATTTTGATGGGGCGAATTGTTCGGCGTATGGCGTGCATTTTCACGACGAGGTTGATCCCCCTACTGCAATTTAGCACGACGTTTTCTTTTGCAACAGAGATGCATGTGTTTAATACTTGGAAAAAAAGATAGGTTTGGTGCAGCGCAAAAAACAATCCCAAAGAAACGTGAAAAGACAAAGATCCCTACATTGATTTCTAATTTTTCGTATAGGATTTTTCCATCGATGTTGTTCCGCGACTTTCTTTCATCTTCCGACCCGTAGTGACTTTGTCTTGCGAAAGAGGCACAGCACCACCTAGAAGTAGATGTGGTCTTGTGCAACCAAGTACTAAGGCCCATCATGCACTAAGGTTCCTTTTTCTTTTCTCGAACACCTGCATCACTTTTCAAAGAGTTCTTGGTCAGGCGTCAGCATAGAGCGTGTAGCTCTCTTTTTGACAACAGCGGCAGTTGTTTGAAACAGTGAATTCACGTTCCAAAATTTTCGCGGAGACCACAGGATAAAGCGTTTTGAATGGCTCGGATGGATACAACGACGCACGTCGTCTGGAACAGCTGTCAGGACAAACATAGAAATGGCACGTAGAAGTAGAACCCCTCAGAATAAATGGGACGTAGAAATGAAGCTCGACGCAGTGATCTTCGTACAACTTAATACCGTTACCCCCACAACACAAATGCAGAAAAAATAACGATTCCCCCCTACGCTATAGGAAGATAAAGATCGACTCCGACAACCTGAAGGACACCCGCCCCGACAAAACCGCTGGAGCGACCCCCTCCACCCCGTAAAATTTCGTCAAAAAAGAACATCGTTTCCACTACAAATCCATCGAAAACAACTTCTACGCCGAGGCACTACGGAGCAGTACCAGCATCTTTCGCGGCTAAGATGGTATCGTACACGACTTTCGCCCCGGCGTATGATGCAGAAAATTATCCGAGAAGTGGTCAACAAGGAATTTGGGATGCATGAGGTGGAGACATCAAGGTCATGTTGCTCTTCGTGGTGTTCCATGTCATGTACTAAACGATAGGGTCTTAGTACCCTTACGAATAGTCTTACGAATAGTTGTTGCGTGAAGTTGTACCAGTTGCAGCTCACTTGCGTAGAAGTTTTTGTGTCTGAAATTCAAATTCTGGCCCGACTCCGAAATAAATTTTTCGCTTGCATACAACCCTGGGGTCGCGGTGCTTTACCGAGGGCATTATGCAGGACGGTATCGAAATCGGGGAGTACCAGGAAAAACAAGACGAAAATGCGGATTTCTTCGTCAACGAAGAATTGTCTACGAAGGTATATTACAAACATAGTACATCCAAGTGTTCTTGAACACGAATGCACAATGAACTTCGTGACAACGAGGGCAAATATAGCACATGCATGGTGGTCTCGTCGTAATTGGGCGCTTATGTGAAGTAGATCATGTTTCTACGATCTTCGTCTTGCGTGGGCTGCTTATCTCAAGAAAAATCATCTGCGTTAACAACAACAAACCTAAAACCAGCACTTGCTCAATGCGACCACCAACAACTTGCCGATTGGTTTCAGCGACCGCAAGGCCGAGGCGGTTCACGGGATGGCTCTGCAAAAATCTTCGACGATAAAGCCAAAGAAGATAAAGGGCAAGCGGAGGAAGCTTTGCCTGCTCGACCAACCGCCGGGAGGTTTATCTTCCACCCTTTTCGAAGACGAGGAGAAATGTCCCGCGAAAGACCACGTGAGGATGAAATACTATCCGAAGTTTCAGTACCCGCATCTGGCCTCCCAGCCTCGGGACGTGCAGTTACACTTTTCCCAGCGGGAGCCGATCGGGTTCAAGCACGAGTATTTCTTCCTGGACTTTTTGGTGAGCCTGGCCCAGGAACCGATGGCCCGCTTGTTGCAACACCAGTTGACAACTATTGTCCTTTTTAAAAAAGAATTGTCCTCTTCCGCTCCAGCTTTATCGTCCTCGAGTAAAAAGATCATGGGACCACAGGCTATCAAATGCAAAAATGTCTGGGTCTGGAATATTGAGAGACTTGTCATGCTTGTCTGGCATGACCAAAAAGTTTGTGATGCGTGTCCAAGAAGAGACCCTTTTGCCTGTCATGCAAAAACGCAGTTTGTCATTCGAAAAACGCAACACAACGAAGCGCAGATATTTCTCATGCTTGGCTGTGCATTACAGAGCATTCACTATTCCCAACGCAGCATTACAAGTTTCCAGACCCAGACATTTTTGCAATCCACACAAGCACAAGACGGCCCGAAGAAGTCCTCGGATTCTTGTTCTTGGCATGGTACGGAATAACAGCAGCTCCATCGTGATTGGCGTTTTTTCTCTACTTGAGCAAGAACTGCAACAACAACAAACAACACTCAGCCGCTCAACTTCCGCAAAAGGAAGAACCTTCCTCGCAACTCATGAGAGGGGCCTTCTTGGTCTCCGGTCCTCGGTCCTCAGTCGCTCACAAGGGAATACTTGAAGAGCTAAGAAGGTCGAAAGTTGAGACACATGAAAGGGAGTTTCTTGGTCTCCGGTCCTCGGTCCTCAGTCCCTCGCATGGTAATACATGACGAGATAAGAAGGTAGAAAGCTGAGACACATGAAAGGGGGTTTCTTGGTTTCCGGTCCTCGGTCCTCAGTCCCTCGCAAGGTAATACCTGACGAGATAAGAAGGTAGAAAGCTGAGGCACATGAAAGGGGGTTTCTTGGTCTCCGGTCCTCGGTCCTCAGTCCCTCGCAAGGTAATATCTGACGAGATAAGAAGGTAGAAAGCTGAGACACATGAAAGGGGGTTTCTTGGTCTCCGGTCCTCGGTCCTCAGTCCCTCGCAAGGTAATGGCTGACGAGATAAGAAGGCAGAAAACCCAGACACATAGGAGGGGGTTTGTTGGTCTCCCATCCTCGGCCCCCAGTCCCTCGCGAGGCAATATATAAAGAGAGAAGAAAGGAGAAGGGGGACACACATGAGCGGGAGTCTGTTGGCCTCCGGTCCTCGGTCCGGACGCCCGCGAAAGTGCGGAGCTTTTTCGTGTGTTTTTTGTTATTTTTTCGCTCGCCAGTTACAGTTCTGGAGGAGCAAGTCGCTGGGGCCATGTCGGCCGCCATTGGAAGAATTCAGGCGCGCGCGCCCTTTTTCTTCTTCAGAGCTGTAGCACCGTTGAAGGCGATGGAGGTGCTCTGAGCTGTCGCTGCGAAAAGCCGCCCGATTCTCTATGGCGAACGCACTCGATAAAGCTAGGGCCCCTGCGATCCTCCGGCGGCACACTCGGCCCAGCGTTGCTCCTCCTACGAAATCGCAGGCAGATCATCAACACCACCCCAATATGGCACCTCGCTCCTCTTCAAAACAGCAGGAGTGCCGCAACAGTGGCAGCAGTCAATCAAGAGCGCTCTCGAAGGTCATTTTTGAGGATCTGCAGCGCTACGGTAGTAGCAGCCAGAAGAGCACCGCGGAGGAAATCAACCGCAATCGCGTTGGTTCTGAGGTCCTTCCCAAGCGAGCAGATCGGGAAGTTTAAAAGTGGCACCGTCGTCACAGCTTTGACGATCCCGATAATTAAATCAAGTTAAGAATCAGAAGCAGGCCACACGGCATAACGGGCGAGGTCCGGTCTCTAGAGTTATCCAAATGGATGGAGATGAAAGCAATGGGCCTTGAACATTTGACGCCATGCCCAGGCACGAGAGAAAAAAAGCGAGAAAGCTATCCAAGCCAGGCGATCGGCCATTTGTCTTCCGTGGCAGTATTCTTCTGGGCTTGTCAAGTATCAGGCTCCTGCTTCAGCAGCAGCAGCACCCTGCGAGCTTTACTACGGCTCTTACGAAGCGAAAGGGCCGAGCTGTCGCGGTTTGAGCAATGCCGTCGAGCAAGATAATACGAGGGATCACGTTGGCGGATTGCAGTTTACTTCTCGGCTTTCTGCAATGTGCAGAGCGGAGCGCTCCCATCCTTTACAGAAAGTCCGCTACTTGCTCCAATATGACACAGATTGAGATAGTGAGAAGATCAACGCACCCACTTCAGACCAATTCGGCGCAGAAGATCAGCACCGCCTTCAAATGCATCCAGATCCGTTTTCTTATTCTACGACTTTCATCCACCACGCAGGCCGGTTTTTTTTCATTTCCCAAAACCAAAGCAGGACAGGGAAGCTGATAGACTCACTTACAGCCCAGACCTCACAGCTCGGCGCATCATCATCAGAACGCGCACGATCGGAGGCGGCGGAATTGTGGACGCGGATGTCAGGGCGAAAGTATATCTCCTCCCAAGTTGTTGACTAGTAGACTGCTTCCGAGGTGGCCCCTTTTCATTTCTACTCCGCCGACACTGGCAAAGAAAAGCGTAGAAGTGGAGCGAAGTGACTACGTGCGATCGAGTGAGAGAGCGAAACGGACTGACTATGTGCGAAGAACAGCCCAGGAACAAAGGCCGCGACTATGTGCGAAGGAGTGGGAGACAGCGAGTCTAAGTGGGTAGCAAGCGAGTCGGGCACTGCCCTACTCGCCTGCCTGATGTCTTTCCGCAGCGCTCGCAGTCGAACTCTCGGCCAAGTTGGTCCCTCGCTGTTTTGACGCGACGGAACGAAGCAGAGGACGCGCGCGAGACAGCGTCACTAGTCGGCTTCACTTGCCGGGCAAGCTTTCCCAAACCGACACTGGCTAAAGCGTAGAAGTGAGGCGAGGCGACTCTGAGCGAAAGAGTGGGCGAAGTGAAGCGACTACGTGCGAAGCACAGCCCCGGATCAAAGAGCGTGGCGGTGTGCGGCGATTTCTCGCCGTTTTGAGTTTGACGCGACGGAGCCGACCGAGGTGGGCAGTTCCATTTGGACGCCTTCTTGTGCCACCATCGTCGCCGGTGTGTGATGATGGTGCTGGTGTACATATGTCGAGCAAGAGAAGATCTCTCTTGCCACTCATGTCACAAAGAAAGTCGGGCGCGCCGCGCAGATGTCGG